AGAGACCATCTCAAGAACAGATTTGATGCATTAGACACTAGTAACAGAAGATGGGAAGAGTTGTGGGATGACATCAAGAACATCATACAGGAAGAAAGCAAAAGGTCATTAAGAAGACAAGAAAAAAGGAAAAGACTAAAATGGATGTCAGAAGAGACTCTAAAACTTGCTCTCCAGAGTAGAGATACTAAACCAAATAGAAGGAAAAAGGAAGTAAAAGAACTGAACAGAAAATTTCAAAAAGCAGCTCGAGAAGACTAAGTCAAATATTATAATGAAATGTGCAAAGATCTCGAGTTAGAAAACCAACAGGGAAGAATACTCTTAGCTGTAAGAACTTAATTAAAAACTCAAGTCTCAACTTGAGGTATTGAAGGAGTACTGGTGTGGTGCTGTGGGTTAATGAACTGGACTGCAAGGCTGGCAATTCAAGCTCACCAGTCATTCCTTGGAAACCCTATACAGGGTTGCTATGGGTTGGAACTGACTCAATGGCAATTTACAACATCAACAATAGGCAAAATATGTAACTATGCAGAAAGCATGAAAGAAGATGGGATGAATACATAGAGTCACTGTATCAAAGAGAAATGGTTGAGGGTTAGCCATTTCAAGAGGTAGCATATGATCAAGAGCCACTAGTACTGTAGGAAAAGTCCATGGTGCACTGAAGGAGATGGCAAAGAACAAGGCTCTGGGAATTGATGGAACACAAATTGATATCTTTCAACAAACTGATGCAACACTAGAGGTACTCACTCATCTATTCCAAGAAATCTGGAAGAAGTCTATATATGGTCACCTGATTGGAAAAGATTCATATTTGTGCCCATTCCATAGAGAGGTGACCCAACAACATGTGGAAATCATTGGACAATATCATTAATACCACATGCAAGTAAATTTTTACTAAAGATCATTCAAAAATAGCTGCAACACTACAGCCAGAGGTTCATGCCAGATTCAGATGAGGATATAGAACAAAGGATATCATTGCTGACGTCAGATGGATCTTGGCTGAAAGCAGAGATCACCAGAAAGATATTTACCTGTGCTTTATTGACTACCAAAGGCTTTTGATTATGTGGAATATGACAAGCTATTAACAACATTGCTCAGAATGAGTATTCTGAAACACTTACATAGATCAAGAGGCAATAAGAGGGCACTAAATAGCTTAAAATTAGGAAAAGTGTGTGCCAGGGTTGTATTCTTGTAGCATACCTATTCAATCTGTATGCTGAGCAAATAATCTGAGAAACTGGATTATATGAAGAAGAACGTGGCATCAGGATTGGAGGAAGACTCATGAACAACCTGCAGTATGCTGATGAAACAACCTTGCTTGCTGAAAGGGAAGAGGACTTAAAATACTTACCAATGAAAATCAAAGAACACAGGCTTAGTATGGCTTGCATCTCAATGTAAAGAAAACAAAAATCCTCACAACTAAAAGTATCAATATACAACAATTACAAGACAATGGAGAAAAGATCTAAGTTGTCAAAGACTTCATTTTGCTGGAATCAACCATCAACACTCCTGGAAGCAGCAGTCAAGAAATTAAATGACATATTATATTAGGCAAATCTGCTGTACAAGACCTCTTTAAAGTGTTGAAGAGTAAAGATGTCAGCTTGAGGCCTAACGTGCACCTGACCCAACCATGGTATTTTCAATAACCTCATATGCATGTGAAAGTTGGACAATGAATAAAGAAGACCATAGAATATTTGATGCGTTTGAGATATGGTGTTGGAGGAGAGTACCATGGACTGCCAGAAGAACAAACAAATCTATTTTGGAAGAAGTACAGCCAGAATACTTCGAAGAAGCCAGGATGACCAGACTTCATCTCTATTATTTCACACATGTTATCAGGGGGGCACCAGTCCCTGGAGAAGGATATCATACCTGGTAGAGTGGAGAGTCTGTGAAAAAAAGGAAACCCCTAACAAGATGGATTGGCACAGTAGCAGCAGCAATGGGCTCAAATGTAGCAGAGATTGTGAGATTGGTGCATATGGGCAGTGTTTTGTTCTATTATGAACAGGGTTGCTATGAGTCAGTACCAACTCAACGGTACCTAACAACAACAACAACAAAGCAGATCCCCTCAACAGCCACTATTTTGATTGGAACTTGTTTTGAAGACACTATAACAAAACGTTGTTGTTGTTGTTGTTAAGTATCGTGGAGTCGCTTCCGACTCATAGTGACCCTGCACAGGGTTTCCGAGGCTGTAAATCTCTACTGGAGCAGAACGCCTCATCTTTCTCCCGCGGAACCACTAGTAGTTTCGAATTGCCAACCTTGAGGTTAGCGGCCCGATTCATAACCACTACGCTACCAGATATACAAAACATAGACAAGTGTATTACATAGAGAACTTGTCTGGAGCCATCCACTGTTCACAGGGACATGTTTAAACACATTTTATTTGCAATAAACCTATGCAAAAAATCTTAGCAGTAATACTTTTGACCCCTAGTATGGGATTGAGAGATGTATACAGCTAAGATTCTCTCTCTTCAACTATAGTCTATGTTCTGGGTGCCCAGAACCCCTCTATTCCCTACCCACTTTCTGAGTCTGTATCTACAAAAGAACTCATCTACACTCTTCCCAGTGGTAATGATCCTAAAAGACCAAGACTAAAAAGACATGACAAGTGAGTGTAGTGAGTGATCATGGATCATATCATGGATGGAGGTGCGTGGGTGGGTGGGTAATATGAGGGAGGCTTCAAAAGTTCTTGGAAGAATTCCATTGTTCCATGAACGTTTTGAAGTCCCCTCGTATATATTTGCTCTGAAGGACATTGTTGGAACAATTGGTGAAATATGAATAAGGTCCATAGATTAAAACACTGTATCTATTTAAATATCTTGATTTTTATCATATTATGTGTTTAGCCCTTGGCTTCTAATAAGAAGGTTGGTGGGTTGAACCCACCCAGTAGCACTCTGGGGAGAAAACCTGGATACCTGCTTCCATTACGATAGCTGTCAAATGCCGTTGAGTTGGTTCCAACTCATGGCGACCTTGTATAGGGTTTCCCAGGAG